ATGAGCTACATCCCTGGCCCAGCATGGTTTTCTTTTTAAGTAATATCCAGGAGTATCAATAACAATTGAATGCCTCAGACAAAATACAAAAAATTTCACTGTCAGTTATTCTTCCTTTCAAATTATTTTGGCATCTGGACCAAATTCATCTGTGAAAAGGTTGAAAGTGTATTTTTAACACTGGCCTTTTCAGCCCAACAATACCAATAAGTAAATGCTTGGATTAACCAATTTCAGAGAAAAACTGAAAAGTAACTCAAAGTTTCTTTCATTCCTAGTGTTTGTTAAGTATCCCTGTCATTTATGATAAAGTTCTTCCTGTATGCTCAGGCTACGGAGAAAGTTTTTGAGATGCATTTTTAGTCTATTTGTGCAACTTCAAATCTGAAAATCTATTCTTGATTTCCTGAAAGCCAGATAATCTTGTTAAGTACTTTTCACTGACCATATCCTTCAGAATTACTTGAAATCTTAGATTCTAGCTGACTTTGACTTTTCAGTAAGTTTCAGCATTAAACTATTTCACTTTTTCATTTCTAAACCTACTTTTTGCCCATGTATAGTCTGTCACCCTTTGCTATAGCAATTGCAGTTTTGAGGAAAATATTTTTCCCTAAATATGTATTCTAAATTCCCAGAGAGAATGTCTGTTCAAATAAATAAAATGAGAGTAAATGCATCAGAGAGAATCAAATGTTACATTCAAATCACTTCCAAAGGTTAAGTGAATTTCCTTTTAGTTGCTCCAAAAATGTTTTTTCTATGCCTTTATTAAAAAAAACCCACTGTAAATCATTTTGTGAATTTAAGAAAATGTATATATAAATATAGTTTCCTAATTCATGTCTGTGAGGTAATACAATGCCAATAACAGGGGCCTGGTGACATGGGGCTTATTTATAATTCTAGTGACAATGTTACATCCAGGTTTTTTCAGTTAATGGATTACTTATTAGGGCAAAGGCCTCAAAAGCTATTTTTCTCTTCCTCTGTTTTCCATAATAGAACACCTCACCACGGTGAATGTGAAAAAGGTTGATGCTTTTGATTAGATAATAAAACTCTTCATTTATTCAGCAGGTCTTTGTGGGAGCCCTGCATATATGCAAGCTTGTGCTGGTTCCTGTGCCAGCCTGAGCAGTATGTGATGCAGGCTGTCAGTGGTCCAGAAACTGTGCTGAACAATAGGTCAATAAACGATTTAATGAGTTCCAAATTTTAATCAAGTCTAGAATTCTTCTGCTCATTGACAGAGTACAATTTGCAGGGTCTCTCTCATGTGTGGAAAATTTATGCTGGAAAATGTTTGTAAACTGATGAAGCTTTGTTTGGCTCTATGTATAAGGTATATTTTTGTTCCTATAGGAAATTAAATGTATCACTTTTTTTTTTGCTTGGTTCTCTTCATAAGCTGTATTTTTATTCCTATTGAAAATTACATATAACACTTCCATTCAGGTGTAGCAAAGGAGTGTCTCTCATGTTGCTGGGTCTCTGTTGCCCATAAGTAATGGTGCTGCATGGAGCTTACTCCACTCCTTCCATTTGAGGACTTATCCCCAAGACAGATATATTGTGTTCTTTATTAAATTAGCACTTTCAAAGGTCTCAAATAGTCAGATTACTACTACTCTGAAACTCATTAACTTTGAAATTTATATAAATGCCAAGTAGATTTTAAGTTGCATCTGTGGTACAATAATGATATTTGTTTTCTTTTTAAAAAGAATACTTGTTAGGTGATTTCATTTACTGAGCAGGAAAGAGAGAAGAGCAGGCCTGAGACTGTTGGCTTAATTTACAAGTCACTTTTCTTCTATCTATTCTTCAATAGATCATGTTATCTTATGCACAAAGATTTTGAAGTTTTTATTTTTCATTATTAAACCTCTGCCATATATAATAGAAAAGAATACTTGAGCCTTTTAAAATTATTTATTTCAAGATAAATGCTTATTTAGATTATTTTAGTTATGCACACATAATCTATAAATTTGTTCTAGTATGTTTTAAAAAATAGTTGGAAAAAGAGATAACCATTGTACTGTACTTGATTTTTTTCTTTAGTAGTAGCTGATTGTGTTTAGGTTACTGAACCTTCTCTCATTTTATATACACTCCAAGTTGCTCTTCAATTGTTACTGTGAGTTTGTCTTCCGAGAAAAATTCAGACTTCTTAAAATCAGGGAACATATCTTTAATATATATTTTATATTTGGTAGTACTTAGTTAGGTCTTGAGCTTACAATGCAGTATTTGCTTGAAAAGCACTTTATAGAATTGCACTGAGGTTTAAAGAGAATTATTATTTTTAAGTTAGAAAAAGGCAGCCTGAGATGTTACTTGAAAAGGCTGGATGTCTGTCCAGTATGGGTTTCAGAATGGCCATGGACAATATATACTACAACTGTCAAGAAAACTGGTGTTCATATTGGACATTTAGCATATTTTCTGGCCTAATTATGGTATGGGAAGCTGTCTTACAATTGAAAGGTGGCTTGTTGAGCATAAAATTGGAGTACACAAGGTTATCACATAAGCGAATGTATTACTGTCATCAGTACCTTAGCCTCTGCCCTAGGGGATGAATACCCATGAGGATAAGATATTTTTCTATGAGTAAGTACAGTTAGATCTGGCCTCTCATTATGACGCTGTCCTTCTATAGATGGTGTTTCCCTTTATACTAGTCTATGAACAGGAATTTATTTTGTTTTATATTCTTACGGCTCAAGCAATAAGTAAAATAGGAAGATTTCCACATTTCCAACACTCATAGGAAAGTAAGGGAAATAAGATTCAGAAGGGTTGATAACATTAAATTATTTTGTACTGGCCCATGTATGCTTCTTCACCCCCTCCACTCTCTCTGAGCCTCATGTAGTTTATTTATAAAATGACCTTCATGATAATACCCATCTTATTTGACCTAATATGATTGGGCTTTGTTTGTAATAGAATACTAGGAAAATAGGAGTTTTTTTCCTATCATAAGTCAAACTGGATTATACATTTTAACAATCACTGATTGTCTACAATGTATATATCCCTTAAAAATATTTATCTTTTCCAAACTTTGAAAATCATGTATGTTCGTGTAAAGTTTTTGGGAGAATTAAATGTAGTCAGAGATTCTCTGTTCTATTCAGATGATTAAAATATAGATGAAATTATTATCTAACAGAATTGGGTAGTTAAATTTCAAATTTCAGTACTATAGTTTATAGTTTTATTTCTCATCATATAAACGTTTTTGTTTGTTTTGTTTTTGACCTTACTATTATGTATTACAGATCATAATGGCTGGAAGACAAAATGTAAAAATAATGTCTAGGATTAGTAATATTAACCTTTGTCTATTATTGACAAAAATCCTTCATTTTATATTTGTAAATAGAAACTATTTTTTACACAACTAAGGCACTAAGTTACATTATTTTTCTTAAAAAATAATATATAGCATAGTTTTGAATCTCAATCACACTGAAATATTATGGTCTGTCTCTTGATTTTTTATGAACTCTGAAAGAGTTTAACATTTACTTTGAATACTTAGTAAAAAAGCTAGAGCTATAGGAAAGCTTGGAGAGTTTCCACTTAAGTGGAAAACTACCTTTGTAAATGTAATATCACAGTAATTTCTCAAATGGAAATGTTTTAACTTACTGTTTGCCAACCAATGCTGGAGTCATGGTGTCTGCTTAGAGGACAGAAAGGATTATTTTAATTTGATTTCCAATGAGTGGTCTTTTTATCTGACATAATTCCAAATATAAATATATCTGATGTCTTTTCTTCTTTCTAGGAATACAGCAGAGCTTGATCTCATTATATGATCTATGCTGCATAGTGTGTTGAATACATTTTTATTTTCTCAGTATACAGTGATTCAGTAGAAACAATAACTTTCAAATCCTGAAAAGGGAGAGGCTGTCAGATTGAGGTGACAGGGAAGGCTTGTTCAGCTACAAGGGCAGCAGAGTTGTAGTTCCGAGGAGGAATATTACAGCTTGAAAATGTGGTTTTTATATGAGCAATGAAAATATAAATATAATTTAGCTACAAATTATTTAAATTATTAATTTAGTTACAAATTATTACCAATAAATGGAGGATGAATATGAAATACAAATTTGAACTTTGGGAGCCCTTGAGTTACCACCATACATAACCCAAGTTTTGAAGAAGAGGATATAGCTTTAAATTATTACTTTTTAAACAGTTTTAGATGAAATTTTTTCCAATAATTGCTACCTTATTAATCAGAGCATACTAAACCTAACTTTTTAATGATTACTTACTGTCACTGTTCTGAGCCTTAAGTATAGGAGTGCGTTACTACCATTGAGGACAATAAGGTACCGCAATACCCACTTTCTGATTTCCATTTTTATTCTGTCGTGGGAGTGGAAATATGTGAGAAAAAGAATAAGTAGCTACTAATCTATTTGTTTAATCTTTTTCTTTCCTGAAAGGAATCTTTTAGCAAGATCTCTGTGTTCATCTTAAATTCCTGAAGTGTAACAGCACCATTTAACTTGTCAGGTCTCTGTGAAGCTTCATTCATGGTGTTCTAACTCTTCATACTAATGTGATCATGTGCTCTGAACCCCAAACAATTCTGTATTAACAACTTACATTTTCATTCAGGAAGCATTTATGAGCATCTATACTTTTAATGAAGAGTTAAAAATAAATCTAAAACACTTACTTTTGTCAAAGAGATACTAATTTTGTGATGCCAAAAGTTATGTTCTTCATACCTGTAGCACAAGGCTGAGGTAATAGGACTACCACTCTGCCCGGCTTCCTTTGTCTGAATAAGTACAGTATAGTTAGACCTTTAGCAAAATTTTATCAAGCTAGATAGATGTTTGCAGGTGTGTTTATATGTATGGATGTACATGCATATTTGTATATCTTTATACATTGTATACATTTATGTAAGCATACATATTTTGGCCTTATGCCAATCTAACATTTTCTGTTTTGTTCAACAGAAATCTTCTTGACAGAGACACATTTTCTAAATCTGATCCAAGTAAGTATATTGCTTGCTTTTTGAAACAGTCTCCTTCTTTTATTTACTCGATTTTACAAAAAATTGTATGGAACTAATAGTCCTTCCTGAGCCCTGCTTGCTATCTACTTGGACAACACTAGCTAAAGAGAAAATTGCTTAGCCCTTTGGAGAATAAGAAGAAATGCAGATAATTCTAGTGTAGGACAGTTCACTTTGAATTAAAAGCTCGTGGTATGGCCACACAATAGATACGCTCTTTGAAAGACATCCATAATTGACCATAATTTTTTAAGTGATTTAGTCACAGAGCACTACTTTTTCTTTTTCTTTTTTTAAGAAACGATAACCAAAGGCATATAAAATCAAGTGAAATACATATCTTCTGTTATAAGCTGAATTTTTTTGATTCTTAGACCATTAAAAACTGGAAATAACTTTTAAAGTGGAAAGGGTAACTTGAATTATAAAACAACCAAATTAGTTTTTTAAATCAATTAGTGTTCTCACGCCCTGTAACATTTAGACATTAATGTCCAGCAGCTTTACATCTCTATAGAGGTGTGAAATGGTATGGCTAAAACACAAGGGAGAGGTCATTGTCAGATGTTACACTACTCTGGCAATCATTGTTAGAGAAAAGGCATTATAATTTATTGATATTAAAAATTCTTGGGGCTCACTTGACAAGTGGGTGGGACTCTTCTTGTCCCTTTATCCACAGCCCTTCATCTTCCTCAGACTTCCTTTCTTGATTGTTAGGTTTTCTTACCTGTTTACAAATATTAAGGATGGTTCTAAATTTTAAATACAGAGTATGAGTTCCTCCTGATGGTCCCATCTATGATGACCCTGAGCACTTTAAGTATGTTAGGAAGTGTTTAACGGAAGTATCTCAAATCATTAAACTATGTTTTTAAAATTTATGTACATCTGGACCATAATGAAGAGAAAACCATCAGTAATTACTGTGTTCTTTATCCTCCAAGCTGTATGCTTATTAAGTTCCAAAGATCTGATATAGTTTGTTTTCTGCTTCTATAAAATGATGTTTAATCATTTGCTGATTTACTGCAATTTTCTTGCAAACCTAAGGCTTAGTATCAGGCATTTAATTTTGAGTAGCTTTGACAGCTGAAAAAGAAATTGTATATGCTTATATCTCATGTTTGTAATGGAGATTTATATACATGTATCTTTCTTTTGTAGTTTGTGTCTTATATGTACAAGGAGTTGGGAATAAAGAATGGAGAGAGGTAAGATAAAAATATATTAAAAATCAGAGCTGGAAGATACAGAATACATTATGACTTAAAGTATTCTTGGTTTCACTTGTCTTTTTCACCCCAACAATTGAATTTCTTTTTCATTTTGTGAAAGTTATCTTTGTGTTTCATTTTTATAATACTGAATACATGACTGTTTAGCTCATTTGTGAACTACTTATAAAATATTCTAGATCTGAGACTTGTACTTTCCTCAGCCAGTCATATGCTTAACATATTGCAATCTAATTGATATGATTCCATATGTAATTTAAGCCTGCAGATTTAGTCTCAAAACAGAAGTCAAACAGAGAGGCATTTTAAGTAGGGTGCTTGATATCAGATACCTCCTGTAATTACTTATTGCCAATAAGCAACCTATAGTTTGCAAATAAAGTAGAAACCTAGTTTCCTCACACAAATGCAGTATACATTGTTCAATGAAGCAAAAGCAAAGAAGCTGAAATACTATTTTAATTAACTGAGTTTTTAAGAGTTACTCCATGTTCAAATGGAAGGATAATCACTGAGAGGCAGGGAGTGGGGTATTAAAATGAAAGTCATTTTTATCTGCCTGTAGTTGCAGGTTACTTTGGGGAGGCAGTGCATTGTTTTAATGAGGTTAGAGTTTCTCTAGAGAGAGTTGTGCTATTGTCCCAAATTGCTTTGTGCCAGCCGTTTTATTGATGTGAGGTAGAGGGTAAGAATAAATCATCTGTAATGGACTCTCAAAACTGGAGGAAAAAACAATTCACAAGTTGTTCCTACTAATGATGAGTTTGTGGTCACTGGGATACTGAGCACCACTGTCTTATATGTTAGTCAGCTTTCCATTTGTATAACAAATACCCGAGATAACTGACTTATAAAGAGAAAGATTATTTTGGCTCACAGCTTTAGACGTTCAGTCTGATTCTTTGGCCCTTTGTATTGGAAGGTAGCACACTGACTCTCAGTTTAAATTTGTCTAAAAGCAGCCAATAATACCTGTGCCTGGTATTCAGACTGTTGCCTTGAAATTTTCTGCCTGATAAACTAATCCATCATCTCTAAGCTCAGCCTCTCAGGAGGTCTCAAGTCACTGACAAAAAGCTTTGCGCTGGTATAGCAAAGATGGCCATCAATCCATTTCCATCTCAAACATTATTAACATGGCTTTTATTGTCTGTATTCTTATCAGCATTCTGATCTGACTCACTCATTAAAGCTCTATGTAGAGCACTTCTGGCTTTCTCCTAGCTTGTTCCTCCAAAATTTCTCCTATAAACCAACTCCAAAGGTTTCTCCACAAGATATATAGCAGCAGACAAGACCACCTGCTTTCATTTTCTGTTAGTCAACTTCCTGTTACTGTAACAAATATCTGAGATAATTAACTTATAAAGAGAAAAGCTTTAGTTTGGTTCATATTTTAGCAGTTTCAGACCATGATTAGTTGACTCCTTTGCTTTGAGTGAGGAAGCAAGTTATGGTGAAAGTGTGTGGTGGAGCAAAGCTACCAAGTTGTTATTAGGAAGCAAAGAGTAAGAAGAGGACTATGGTCTTACAACACCATCAGTGACCAAAAGAGCTCCTACTCTGCACCTTCCCTTAGAGGTTCCACCACCTCCCAGTAGCACCACTGTGGGGACCAAGCCTTTAATACATGGGCTTTTGGGGGAAATTTAACATCAACTGTAGCATTGTATCTAATTACTTCCCCACATTTCCATATGGTCATCTGGTATTACCTCAAGTTCTGCATACCCAGTTGCAAACTTATCATCCTCACTGTATGCCCTCTTCATGTTTGCTGCAAATATGGCTAAGAGCATCACGAGCCAAAATATAAAACCAATTTGCTGTCATCTGGCTTTCCCTTTGTACAAGTTTATTATTTAATGAGTTTTCTAGTACTATGACTTCTTTTACAAACAAAATAAAACAGAGCAAGAACTTTCAAACCAGCCACCTCCTTTATTCAAACCCTGGTTACTTTTTCTTCTTTTTTGCAACATCCTCCTCAGTTTGTGTACTTTATCTCTCCTTTATCTGTCTCGTTATTCCTTTACATTTCTAAAAGATACCCTTTCTCTTGTCATTCACTCTCCAGTTTCCTAATTAGAAGGCCTATGACTGTTCTTACTGACCAGAGTGCCAAGCTGCTTGGGGCTCAGGATTTACTAGGAGTGTCCAGAGAATTGTATTATTTTAGAGACCAATGAGGAACCAAGATAAGTACAGAAACATGCACCTGAGCTCCTAGTCACTTTGTCTTCATTCCATCTTGGGTCTTATTTTTTCCCCATTCCTAGCCCTCCCTTCACCTCCTCCACCCTTCCCTATTCATTGAGACGCAATAACTAACACTCGCAATTTAAAGGAAAGGTTTATTTTGACTCACAGTGTGTGGAAGTTCTAGCCCATAGTCCTGTGGCTACAGGCAGGACAGCATTGCAGGCGTGCACACCAGGGGACAGCTGCTCACAAGGTCCTGGAGGACAGGAAGCAGAGAGTGTGAAGAGAGGGGTAGGGAGATAACACCCTTCCCAGCCAGGCTTCACCTCCATGCATTACATTAGCTATGAACTCATCAGTGGACTAAGCTACTAATGAGTGTCGTGCGCCCATGATCCCATCACTTCCCAAAAGGCCTACCTATGAGTGCATGAGGATTTGAGGGGACATCTAGATATAAACCATCACATGGGCCGATGCAAATCCCTCATGATGAGGCACTTTGCAATTTCATTAGGTAAGGGGAGTTTGGGGAAGAACAATAAAAATATTTCAGAACTAGACCTGGGAGCTCATGCTTATTGGGTGTTAGTGGGTAGGCTTAGCCCAGAATATCCCATGCTTAAAAAATTTCTCATGCTTTTCTATTATGTAAGAAGTAAAACGTAAATTTCTTACATAATTTACTGATTGTTTCATAATAAAAATGGCTAACTGCTATTTGAAACCTTTCTCATTTATTGACTAATCTAGTTTTTGCAATAACATTGAGAGGTGGGTGCTAGTACTATTCTTATTTTACTCACGAGAAGCAAGCACAGAATTTTAATTTGACCAGAATGGAGACTCTAACCCAAGTTGTGTGGCTTGAAAACTCTTGCTGTTAGAGCACCCTACTGTGCACAATTCTTTTCTGACCCCAACCACTACTTTCTGGTTTTATAAATGGGAAATATGTTTATGTCAGCTTTGGGGGTTTGGTTACTTTTTCTTAAGCTTGATTGTAAAAGACAAATAGGAAGCACACGTTCAGTGTTTAAGGAAAATGGCATATTAATTAAAATAAAATTGTGATAAAACAAAATGTTCTGCTTTTTTTTCTATTTGAAGGGCTAGAAAATATCAGTACTCAAAAGGGAGATAAAAACAACATAAAAATGGAGAAAATGATGAGAAATCAGACCCAGAGTTATAGTGAATAGGTAGAAACTGATGAAGATAAAGAGATAACCAGTTACTTTCATGTGTTTTGTGTTGTTATAACAGAATACGAGAGACTGGGTAATTGATAAAGAAAAGATATTTTTTTCTCCCAGCTCAGGAGCCTGGGAAGTCTTATCAGTGTTGAGGGCACTGTGTCTTGTGAGGGCCTTCTGGCTGCATTGTCCCAAGGTGGAAAGCAGAAGGGCAAGAAAGCACATGCATATGGTGTGAGTAGGTGCTGAACTCCCAAATGCATCCTTATCTCAGTAGTCCATTCCCTGTACAGTGGAATTAATCCATTCATAAGGACCTGATCTAAATACCTCTTAAAAGTCCCACCTTTCAACACTTTTGATTTGGGGATTCAGTTTCCCACAAATGAAGTTTGGGGGGACACATTCTACCCATAGCACCAGTTAAGAGGGCCTTTGGGCACTCAGCCTTACAAAGGAGATAGAAGTGTTAAAGAATGACAGAGTGGCCTGGAAGAATGGTAAGGAAGTACAGATGCAAGAGACCTGCATTGCGTAGCACCTAGTGGCTAAGGGAAATTGTGGGTAAGCAGAGAAAGGGAAGGAAAATGAAATGTACTCTATTTGTTGCTTAATTCTCCACAAAACCATCTGAGGAAGACAGTTTTCTTTTGAGAACCAGGGTAATACGGTGGTTAAAGATGTGACCGGTCCTCTCAATGATAGTTTCTCCATCTGTAACATGAGAAATGATGATGACTCTAGCTTGTATTTGTTCTGATCATCACATGTGAACTTTTCATGGTACCTGGCACATAGGAAACATTATAACTAAGGACACAACACCAAACAAAATGAGCAAGTGGGAAATCAGTAAATTAATTCCTTCATTGTAAAATTCTTTGCCCAAGTCCGCAATCGATGGGAAAATGACCTATGGGATTTACTTGGGCCTCAAACCCAATCTGAAACTGTGGTGTTATGCACCTGCCAAAAAGCTAATGCAATCCAAGGATGCACTGATGGATGTGTAGCACTTTCATCAAGGAATATAATGCTATTATGTTGAGCCATAGGAAATTGTGATTTTTGTAGGTCAAAGATGGTTGCGTGTTGGCAATTTCATGTGATTCAATGTAGTGCTATTGTATCTTCCTCTGGTGGAAGCAGATTGAAATGTGAGTTTTCAGTTCTACATTTTAGCCCAGCAAATAGCCAAGCATGTATTTGAAGACTGCCATCTTGAAGTAAAGGTTAGAAACCATGCAATTTGAATAAAGGAACGTTTATTCTGAAAAATGTGAAGATGGAATAGTCACAGTGATTGACTTCAAACTCTTACATTGTTTTCACCTAGAAACGTATGTGTGCAGGGTTGGGTTTGCTTACTTGATGCTATATAGGTGGCAACAAACATTTTGGCCCAAAGGTTAGAGAGAGGAAGAGGCATGATTTATTTCACCATGAGGAAACCCTTTGTGATACACAGAATGTGGCACAGTAGAATGAGTTTCCTAGAACTGTATCCTGGAAGTGTAGTAGATGTCTTATTACAAGAAATACTTAAACAGGGATGCATTAGTTTAACATGGAGAAGTA